CTCTCTAGTGCCGACCTCTGGTGTTGCCTTCACACCCAACTCTAGTATCCTGTTGATGCTTTTTTGTTTGGTGTACAGTATACGGCTCAATCTGGCGCAAGGAGAACTCGTGTTTCTGTTTTTGTTACAAACTTTCATAAAAGTAGAAATGCTCTTACGGTAATATCTGAGAGTATATTTGCTCACTTTGGAGTACAAACACGAAGAGTGATCCATATGTTATCCTTGTGGTAGGGACGATTAACTGATCTGAAGAAAAGTGATGGATATATTATCCATGTCGATAATAATAATGATCGATTATCATCACTGACTAGCGTGAAGGAAGGTATAGATAGAGTCGCAGGAAGTAATTAGCAATATCTGTCAAGAGGAACAAGATATCGTAAGATCTTAGCTGAGGAAGTTAGGAAATTATTTAAATCTTAGAAGATTTAGAAGTTCTAAGAAGTTAATTTTAGCTGAGGAAGTTAACAGCAAATTGGTCTATCATCAGGTGGATATGTAGTGGATATGATTTACATTCTCGTGATCAATGACAGAAAAGCTGGACAGAAATACGAGAGCATTGAAAGAACTTTCGAAAATATTATGTAAATAGTAGAATAAAATATCTGATAGAGAACCGAATCGAACTATCAGGAGAAAGCGCCAAGCCATTACGTCTATATAGGACTTGGAAGGGATAAGGATCAGGATTGGGGATGGGACGGGGAGGGGGAAAGGAATGGTGCCCAACCCCTTGGACGATCGGGGATTGAACGCCGACCTGCATGAAGCGAGACCGTCGACCTACCGTCCAGCCCAAGCGGTTGGACTATCGAGAATGAAAGTTCTGGTAATGGGAGACTTCGCGACCTGATTGATAGGGATAAATGATTAATCAATAATTTCTCGAATACTGTAATGAGTGGGAAGAAATGGGTCCAGGGAGTTAGGGCATGGAGAGTAAAGCTACTAAAAATAGTGAAATGGAACTTCATGACAAATAATCAGGGAAAATCATTTGGGCCTTCGGGCCGCTCCAAGCAACAGCCTGGTGGACCAAGCTCTCACAAGTCAAGCCTGGCCTCGGGCCGGGCTTGGGGGAGTAGAAGAACTCCCAGAACCCCATCAACCAGGTATCTAAATATTTTAAATATATAGAACAATTAAAAAATACACAGTTAATTAAACCACTAAATAGATTAAAAAAAGTTGAGATTAGGAATTGAAACTTTCCAACAAACACATATTGGTGAGTGAATTATTATTAATATTATTATGGAGAAAATCAGTTAGAGCCATGAGGAGGATTCGAACCTGCGTTCCCTGGGTACTACCAAGCACACGCCTTAAACCACTGGTACTAGGTCGATACCTCCCGACCCCTAGAATATTCAATAGAGTCTCAGGTTACAGTGCTTTTTAACGTATCGTGGTCTAGTGGTTTCAGTTGTGTGCTTGGGAGTATACCCAGGGGAGCCGGGTTCGAATCCTAGTCGTGGCTACAACTGATCTTTTCAGTGATACATCACGTTACTGTGATTTATTTTATACATCATAATTATTATTATTGACTGATTCATTGTTATATATTATAATTATTAATTATTTGTGTAATTATTTACTCTATTTTTATGTATTAATAAAACAAAAACGGTGAAATTAGCAATGTCCCTCATGCACCCGCTAGCCTCATGTCCTCACTTGTACACTTTCTCATTCCCGGAAAATCTAGTTCACAGATGCTCACCATAAGGGGGGAAAAATAAAATATTTCTACAAGCACTTAGACCAGTCCTGTATTTGGAGTGCTTGGAAGCATTTATTTGTCATTTCCTCATAATACTGTCATTGTTGTTGTTGTTGAAATTGAAATAAGTTTATTGAGGTAAAATACACACAAAGGGATGAGGTAGCTCAAGCTATTCTCACCCCGTTTGTTGTATGTGTAAAGTGCGTTTGTGCGTTGCACTTCTAGAGACCAGAGCAACTTCCTGAGTGTCTTGGCTCAGGGTTGTTGCTGCTGTATGCTACAGGTGGTACTGTATCTTATCTACCTACCAACCTGGTGGTACAGGGTTATTCTGTAAGCGTACGTCCTAATTCGGGGATATTAACTGGAGAGCATACCTGGAGGGTGTTTCGGAATTTGTTCTACTCCCCCCTCCACTCCCCGACTTGTGGTAACTTGGTCCAACAGGCTTGTTGCTCGGAGCGGCCCGCAGGCCTACGACAGCCTGGTTGGTCCGGCACGTCTTGCAAGAACCTGTCCAAGTGCTTCTTGAATACCTCCCTCTTACAATAATACCTCTTATAGTAATATTGTAAGCTTACGCTTGAGCCAGGGATGTGGTAAGCTTTCTTTTTTTCAGGAATGTTGTAAGCTTAATAATTACACCTTGACTCCGGGATCATGTAATAACCTCACGGCCTTACTCTGGGATGTAGTTAGTTACACACACACACACACACACACACACACACACACACACACACACACACACACACACACACACACACACACACACACACACACACACACACACACACACAGGAAGCAGCCCGTAACAGGTGTCTAACTCCTGGGGACCTATTTACTCGTTAGTAGGTAGCCCCAACCAGTTGGATTGGCTGGCTACTGGCCGGGTCCTCGTTCGATCCCAGATGATGCAAGTGGTTGGGTAACGTCGATTCATTCCTTATTCCCCAGCACCTGGTCCTCATACCCCAGCTCCTGGTCCTCATACCCCAGCTCCTGGTCCTCATACCCCAGATCCTGGTCCTCATACCACAGCTCCTGGTCCTCATACCCCGGTTCCTCGTCCTCATATCCCAGTTCCTGGTCCTCACACCCCAGCTCCTGGTCCTCATACCCCAGCTCCTGGTCCTCATTCCCCAGATCCTGGTCCTTATACCCCAGCTTCTGGTCCTCATACCCCAGCTCCTGGTCCTCATTCCCCAGCTCCTGGTCCTCATACCCCAGATCCTGGTCCTCATACCTAGCTCCTGGTCCTCAACCTCAGCTCCTGGTCCTCATACCCCCAGCTCCTGGTCCTCATACCCCCAGCTCCTGGTCCTCATACCTCAGCTCCTGGTCCTCATACCACGGTTCCTCGTCCTCATATCCCAGTTCCTGGTCCTCATACCCCAGCTCCTGGTCCTCATACCCCAGATCCTGGTCCTCATACCCCAGATCCTGGTCCTCATACCCCCAGCTAATGGTCCTCATACCCCAGCTCCTGGTCTTCATACCCCAGCTCCTGGTCCTCATACCTCCAGCTCCTAGTCCTTTTCCAGCTCCTGGTCCTCATACCCCCAGCTCCTCATACCCCAGATCCTGGTTTTCATACCCCAGATCCTGGTCCTCATATCCCAGATCCTGGTCCTCATACCCTAGCTCCTGGTCCTCATATCCCAGCTCCTGGTCCTCATACCCCGGCTTCTGGTCCTCATACTCCAGATCCTGGTCCTCATACACCCAGCTCCTGGTCCTCATACCCCAGCTCCGGGTCCTCATACCCCAGCTCCGGGTCTTCATATTCCTTGCAAGTGTCATAAAGCCATACTGGCTTAGCGCTTTCTCCTCATAATTTCTTTTACCTCTATCATCAATAAACTCACGAACGCCTTGATACTAGTTAAGATTGTTAAATAGCGATTACAAAGTAATCAATATGATAGATCAATGAGAAAATTAATATGAGGAAGATTCGAACCTTTGTACATCACGTTAATACGATTTCTTTGTGTGTTTGAAGAGATGCGTGGGTGGTAGTGAACCCAGACCACAAGCCAGAGCACATGAGGGGGAGGGGAATTGTGTGAAGCCCTGCTTAGGCTTCAGTGAACCCTAGATGAACCCTAGAGGCTTCAGGTGAATTTCAGGTTGCAATACTTTTGACCATGTCGTGTTCTAGTGGTCTGATGGGTGAGCTTGGGAGTACCCTAGAGCATTGGTTCGAATCCTCCTCCTGGCTACTTCTGATTTTCTCGAGTTTACAGCTAGAGGTTTACTGTAATCTCGAACTTAGTTCAGTACTACAGTATACTTATGGCTGATCACCAAGGTGAAGACAGTGCCGTTATCTAGGTTCACCGGAGCCATATATTATATTGATCCTCAACATTGCAATGTGGCGTAATCTTAGTTGCATCATGTTGCAAACTCTTGTAAACAATGAGCTAAGCTCTTCTGTATTCCGGGAGAGCGTTGTGTACTGAACCTAGTGACCTCTGTTGCAGCGCTGCCAGACGTAAAGGTCGGGTTCCACTGGAAATGTTAATTGCTTAGAGTCCTAGATTAATCACGGATAAGAGTCCGGGATAGATTCTGTTCATTTTTTATGCATGACATACCCATCTCGTGGGTGGTAGTGGATCCCATACCCATCCCGTGGGTGGTAGTGGTCCCCATACCCATCCCGTGGGTGGTAGTGGACCCCATACCTACCTCGAGGGTGGTAGTGGACCCAATTCCCATCCCGTGGGTGGTAATGGACCCCATACCCATCCCGTGGGTGGTAGTGGACCCCATACCCATCCAGTGGGTGGTAATGGACCCCATACCCATCCCGTGGGTGGTAGTGAACCCCATACCCATCTCGTGGGTGATAGTGGACCCCATATCCATCCCGTGGGTGGGAGTGGACCCCATACCCATCCCGTGGGTGGTAGTGGACCCCATATCCATCCCGTGGGTGGTAGTGCACTCCCATACCCATTCCGCGGGCAGTAGTGCCTAATGCCTCTGTTCACCTAGCAGTACAAAGGTATAGTGGACTTAGGCAAACTTTTAAGGATTTACATCCTGGGGAAGGACATTAGTGTGACAATATAGGCCTAAATTATGTATATACACACTCTTCCTGTCATCGACAAAACGAAGTACGTTGAAAATGGTTATGTTCTTGTTCCCTAACGAACTGTACCTGTGGAAACTAGGTAAATGTTCTTAGATGATTAATTGAATTTGTTCATTGAATACATTTTTGCATAGGATATAAATTATATTCCAATACTTATAAATGCATATATTTATGGAAGTATTGTACCAAAGTTCCTAAAAGCTGATCAATCAGTTTGTTACTGCCGAGACAGGACATTAAAGATCTTGATCACACTTTTCACAATTTCATTATTTCACAATTTTGGGTTTCTAGATATTCTGGCCGGATGTTTGTTGTGCTTGATAGGAAACTGTTGGTCACGGAGAGTACGGGATCACATTAACCAAAGAAACCACCTCGTCTGAAACCTCGGCCGAAACCTCGCCGGCCGAAACCAAACTGGGGGTCAGCCACGGGGTCAGGGCCGGCCAGGGCGTAGGGGTCAGGCATGGCTCGGGCTGACCCCATCAGGGCGGCCAGGGCCACCACCAACACCACCATCAGCGACAACTGAAATATTGAAATACATTTTAAGGATTTTCTGTTCATAAGAAGATTGTGATGTGTTTTATTTTAATTAATATGGGATACTGGTCCTGTAGGACCCTCCCTGTAGAACCATCCCTGTAGTGCCTTCCCTGTCGAACCCTCCCTGTAGAACCCTCCCTGTAAGGCTGCTTATCTACCACAGTATGTACCAAGTTTACAATCTCTTGATAGTCGAAGACTCATAGAGTATACTCGCGCTATATATAATAGGATGGATGGTAGAGACGGGAGGGATACCAGCATATAATCTATCACACCAAGCAGCATAAAGAAGGGTTCGCAGTGGACAGGATTACCATTACAGGAGTCGGTGGCTCTCTAGTAAGTTGAGAGGTGGATAGGACACAGGAGTCTAAGGAACTCTGATGTAAATTGGACCTGTCACGCCAGTAGGCCGACTGAAATGTTGCTTTCCTGTTTTGTAAATATCATTAAAACTTTCGTGACGAAAGGAGCAAAAATTACTGAAATATAATAGTTATATGCAACAGAAATAGTGATTAATATTGGATGTGAAAGGAGTAATGCATGATTACGCATGACATGAAAGTGATTAATATTATTAATTGGATGTGAAAGGAGTTATGCATTATGTGCATAGTTATGTGAAAGGAGTTATGCATCACTTTGGTTATAAATGATTAACCACCCTAAACGCTAATGGGATGATCAGGGGTGAAGGGTCACACCCATAGCGAAGGCTGTACTTACAAGTTTCATGTCTGTGAAGTCAATGTTGTCGGTCAGAATTGGCTGTTCAGCGTTGACTGTCTTTGTCGAGGCTCATGCAGCTCTTTATATACCGAAATATAGACGTGAGCGAGCTCTGGTGCCGCCCTCTGGTGCCGCCCTCTGGTGCCGCCCTCTCTAGTGCCGACCTCTGGTGTTGCCTTCACACTCAACTCTAGTATCCTGTTGATGCTTTTTTGTTTGGTGTTCAGTATACGGCTCAATCTGGCGCAAGGAGAACTCGTGTTTCTGTTTTTGTTACAAACTTTCATAAAAGTAGAAATGCTCTTACGGTAATATCTGAGAGTATATTTGCTCACTTTGGAGTACAAACACGAAGAGTGATCCATATGTTATCCTTGTGGTAGGGACGATTAACTGATCTGAAGAAAAGTGATGGATATATTATACATGTCGATAATAATAATGATCGAATATCATCACTGACTAGCGTGAAGGAAGGTATAGATAGAGTCGCAGGAAGTAATTAGCAATATCTGTCAAGAGGAACAAGATATTGTAAGATCTTAGATGAGGAAGTTAGGAAATTATTTAAATCTTAGAAGATTTAGAAGTTCTAAGAAGTTAATTTTAGCTGAGGAAGTTAACAGCAAATTGGTCTATCATCAGGTGGATATGTAGTGGATATGATTTACATTCTCGTGATCAATGACAGAAAAGCTGGACAGAAATACGAGAGCATTGAAAGAACTTTCGAAAATATTATGTAAATAGTAGAATAAAATATCTGATGGAGAACCGAATCGAACTATCAGGAGAAAGCGCCTAGCCATTACGACTATATAACACTTGAAAGGGATAAGGCTCAGGATTGGGGATGGGGCGGGGAAGGGGAAAGGAATGGTGCCCAACCCCTTGGACGATCGGGGATTGAACGCCGACCTGCATGAAGCGAGACCGTCGACCTACCGTCCAGCCCAAGCGGTTGGACTATCGAGAATGAAAGTTCTGGTAATGGGAGACTTCGCGACCTGATTGATAGGGATAAATGATTAATCAATAATTTCTCGAATACTGTAATGAGTGGGAAGAAATGGGTCCAGGGAGTTAGGGCATGGAGAGTAAAGCTACTAAAAATAGTGAAATGGAACTTCATGACAAATAATCAGGGAAAATCATTTGGGCCTTCGGGCCGCTCCAAGCAACAGCCTGGTGGACCAAACTCTCACAAGTCAAGCCTGGCCTCGGGCCGGGCTTGGGGAGTAGAAGAACTCCCAGAACCCCATCAAGCAGGTATCTAAATATTTTAAATATATAGAACAATTAAAAAATATACAGTTCATTAAACCACTAAATAGATTAAAAAAAAGTTGAGATTAGGAATTGAAACTTTCCAACAAACACATATTGGTGAGTGAATTATTATTAATATTATTATGGAGAAAATCAGTTAGAGCCATGAGGAGGATTCGAACCTGCGTTCCCTGGGTACTACCAAGCACACGCCTTAAACCACTGGTACCAGGTCGATGCCTCACGACCCCTAGAATATTCAGTAGAGTCTCAGGTTACAGTGCTTTTTAACGTATCGTGGTCTAGTGGTTTCAGTTGTGTGCTTGGGAGTATACCCAGGGAAGCCGGGTTCGAATCCTAGTCGTGGCTACAACTGATGTTTTCAGTGATACATCACGTTACTGTGATTTATTTTATACATCATAATTATTATTATTATTTTATTGTTATTATTATAGACTGATTCATTGTTATATATTATAATTATTAATTATTTGTGTAATTATTTACTCTATTTTTATGTATTAATAAAACAAAAACGGTGAAATTAGCAGTGTCCCTCATGCACCCGCTAGCCTCATGTCCTCACTTGTACACTTTCTCATTCCCGGAAAATCTAGTTCACAGATGCTCACCATGAGGGGAAAAAAAATAAAATATTTCTACAAGCACTTAGACCAGTCCTGTATTTGGAGTGCTTGGAAGCATTTATTTGTCATTTCCTCATAATACTGTCATTGTTGTTGTTGTTGAAATTGAAATAAGTTTATTGAGGTAAAATACACACAAAGGGATGAGGTAGCTCAAGCTATTCTCACCCCGTTTGTTGTTGTATGTGTAAAGTGCGTTTGTGCGTTGCACTTCTAGAGACCAGAGCATCTTCCTGAGTGTCTTGGCTCATGTCTTGGCTCAGGGTTGTTGCTGCTGTATGCTACAGGTGGTACTGTATCTTATCTACCTACCAACCTGGCGGTACAGGGTTATTCTGTAAGCGTACGTCCTAATTCGGGGATATTAACTGGAGAGCATACCTGGAGGGTGTTTCGGAATTTGTTCTACTCCCCCCTCCACTCCCCGACTTGTGGTAACTTGGTCCAACAGGCTTGTTGCTTGGAGCGGCCCGCAGGCCTACTACAGCCTGGTTGGTCCGGCACTTCTTGCAAGAACCTGTCCAAGTGCTTCTTGAATACCTCCCTCTTACAGTAATATTGTAAGCTTACGCTTGAGCCAGGGATGTGGTAAACTTCTTTTTTTTCAGGAATGTTGTAAGCTTAATAATTACACCTTGACTCCGGGATCATGTAATAACCTTACGGCCTTACTCTGGGATGTAGTTAGTTCTATTCTGTCTTAATCTAACGCAAACAAGGGATACAATTTTGTGTTTTATTTATGGTGGCGAGGTGTGTAACGTCACTGTGACGTCACTGTGACTGGTCGACTGGTCGACCCGACTGGTCGTGCTGGCGCCCCTTGGTAGTGATGGGGCGGCTCTTGTGTGATATGTATCTCAAGATACACATTGTTTGGTGAACGTGATGGATTGAAAGGTTTAACATTTAAAAAGGATACATGCCTCGTCAGATCAACACGCCTTGTCAACATAATAATAATAGTAATGTTAAATAGAATTATAAAAAAGGGGAACATTGTAACAAGAGAGCAGTACATAGTAGTACAACATGAACATCATAACAGCATGAACAAGCCACAGGCGCGGCGGCAGTCAGGCGGCGGCAGACAATGGAAGAAGTTACACCTCGGTACCAGTTAATTTTAATTAACCAGGAGGACAGGTCAGCGGTTACCAAGTCACGAAGAGGTCAGAGTTGATGCCGTCATGATAATCTTCAGGGATTAACCCCTAAATATCAAATGCAAAACCCTCATGTTCAGCTGAGGAGCAGATCATGGAAGGGACAGGAGAGTGGGCACAGCCTAGGAGGACGGTGTGTGTGGACTCAGGGAAGGAACATCATCTCCAGGAGAACTGTGGAACAACATACGAGTAAGTACGGCTCTCTTGAACTAAAGCACCTCATTCAGTACCCTTGGCCTCTGGTAGGAATTAGTTAGGGAAGTGCCGATTTAACTATTTCGAATAAAGTTGTAACACGGATTTTGGGTCCCTCTCACTTTACTTCACTCTACTCCCTCTACCCGTATTCTTACTTTTATTTCTAAACCAAGGGACTCCAAAACTTTTAACAAAGCCAACTCCACGCCACGTGGTCCTAAGACGATTGACCGACTTAGGATTCTACACCCAGTATGACGTGACCTAAGCTCTGAACAAAACCCTAGAGTCACCTCTGCTGCCACCACCAGACCAGTAATACAAGAGCAATGATCGAGGTCTGGATCGATCACGCTAATTAATCAACCTAGGGGCTTGATCCCCACTATAAACGATGACCTTGAGTGTGGAATAAATTACACGGTAATGATAATTCCGATTCGATGTTAGAATCGGCGCCCAATGCAACTCTGCCTCGTGTGGACCACGTGACCAGGACAAGTATACACATAAAACACATGGAAACAATAAAATGCAAATTAATAACAAATTTAATTTATTAAAAGAAAACTAAAACAAAATCTAAATGTGTTCACTCCCTATCACTTTAACACTCCCTACTTGACCTGAATGGCAAATGAGAAGACTATTTCTATACATAACCATAGCAACTATACCTTGGGCGACCAGCTCTGGGTGTTGTGCTGGTCTTGGGGAGAGGTAAGATGTTTGACCTCTCCCAGCTGCTCCCGTATTCACACTGATCTCTCTCTTGTCTGGTCTACCCCAGACTAGAACATTGTATTGTTCCGCATCGCTTACCCAGTTACTTTAGCAAGGTTAAGTTATAACAATTAAACTCTGTTTGTACTGAATTGATCCAGACTGGTTGAATTATTTTACTGAATTAAATTACAAACATCTAACGGCAGAGCTGTTCCCGATCACAAAAATGGTTATTAAAACTTTGAGAAATAGTAGACCTGTCAACCCCTGATGACCTATGACCGCCGGTCACTCCGCTTTAAAAGTTAGATCTGATTCGTGACGTCACTGATGGTGACAAACTCAATAATTAGAATACTCTTGATATTGTATCCAGTACTATTATACAATACAATTTTAATGCAAAATGAATAAAGGCTAATTTTCTCTAAATTACTGAATACTATAGGATGATTCATTATACGCAGTTATGAACAAAGCGTCGGTTATTTCCACCGCGAATTCCCCTGGGGGTCAGGTCACCATGCGGCTCAGCTTCCCATTCTCTTTTGTCGATAAACCACTCTGGATAATTCTTACAACAGCCTAGTTTGTTACAACCCCCCCGCACAAGCACTTAGTAAACCTTGTTAATTTGTTAAAATTCACGAGGTTTAGTATCCAAACCCACAATTCAACTCATGCCACAAACAAAAGCTAACCTAACTAATAAAATTCGACAAATAATAGTCCAACATCATAATGAACATGTTCATATTTCATAAATTTCTCAGCTGTCAACTGACAGCAATCCTCCAATATCAGGAAACATACATCCTACCCTTACTGACATAGCTAAATAACATGTCCCTACTCTACCATCAAAAACTAGCTATTAAACTCTCTTGGCTCTTCACTAGCCAAGTCCATGTGTCCTCTAGAGCCGGCCACACCGTGCTCAAACAAACATTAAAGTTATAAGTTCAGACTGAACTTTGTCATCCGGGAGCGTACTACGGAACTATCAAGTTCACATCCGTGTACTAACCACTCCCCATCAATGTCAACCTTGACATGTTAAGGAACACACCTAATGTTTATTACATCTATCTAAAAAATAAAAAAAAATCCTATACTATATCACAGGTTTCAGCTGACTGTACAGCCAAGTGTTCTCACTCACTAGAAGTGTCAATGTTTATATTGGTCCGCCTCTCCTGTGTTCAAACATTCTGAAAAAAATAGCACAACATAATTTTCCATAACCGTTTGTTCTGGGCTGAGACAATTACACAGGGGCTTCGATTTTGATTACCGACCAATTTATAGAGTTAAATTTTCATATATTATACCAATTATTATTTTAAATCTGTTTTTCAACA